ATAGCTTTAACAAACAAATTTATTTCTTCACAGTAGGAGGCTGGAAGTCCAAATTCAAGGCACCAGCTCTAAGGGAAGGCTTTCTCCTCTGTCTGCCCTGGGGAAGGTCCTTGTCTCCTTTCAACATATGGGGGTCAGGTGTTCCTGAGAGATCTTCATGTGTCTTGGTGTTAATCTTTACCTGAATCTGGGAGGTTCTCAGTACAGGGAACTCAGGATCAAAAGACGTGCTCCACTCCTGGCTCCTGTCTTGGGGGAAGTCAGGTCCCTCCTCCTCTGCTCACTCTCTCCAGTTATCTCTTGTAAGATAAAAGGTGATGCAGGCCACACTCTAAGGTAACTCCCTTTACATCAGATCAGGACTGTGACTTGTTTAAGGCTGTTGCATACCACCCATGTCATCCCTTGCAGCTGATTGGCTGATCACATCAGATCACATCATGGGGGATGATTACATCATTATATAACTGCCACACCACTGAGAATCATAGCCCAGCCAAGTTAACACATATTTTGGGGTGATACAATTCATCCCATGCCAGATAAGAGAAATTAAATGTGAGGAGGAAGTCCACTTAAATAGCGAGGCTGGGGATGGCTTCCCCAAGTTGCTGACATTTAAGATGAGCCCTGATGAATGAGGAGATAGCCATGTGGAAAGTAGGGGCACTCTTTGAGGTGGAGGGAATGCCACATGTAGGGGTTGAAGCAAGAAAGAGTTTGTTTTAGAAATGTAGAGCAGATTGCTATGGCTGGAACACAGTGATAGAGAAGGTGGCTTGAGATGAGATTGGAGATATAGACAGGGGCAGGTAGGGCAAGGCCTTATACAGTGAGAACAAACTTTGGATTTTGTACTGCTTGCAGTGAGAAGCTATCAGTGGATTTTAAGCAAGGAAGGGACATGATCCCACCTGTGCTTTTAAAACTCCTGCTGTTGCATGTACAGTGGTTTGGGATAATAGGGCCAGAATAAAAAGCAGGAAGACCAGTTATAGAAGACTACTGCAGAAGTTTATAATGTCACACACATTTAATTTATATGCAAAATGGTTTTAAGATGTTTTTGTTTTGGAATTGGAAATTCCTGAATTTGCTAATGGATAGAGATGTTGGGGTGGGGGAAGGAAAGCGAGGATGTTACAAGTATTTTGGTTCAAGCAACTGGGTAGCTGTTGAGATAGGAACTACTTGGGGGAGAAACGAGTTTCGGGAATGGCATGAGAGAGACTTGCTGGTTTGATGTTGTACGCAGGAGAGGTGTCTGATAGTTACTTGAGCTCCTGTGTAATTTCCTGCCCACAGGCACCGTCATTGGTGACATAGTAAAAGGTGGATCACTTTCCTAGAAAGGCTAAGTTATCTAGAAAGAGAATGTAGTGTATTTGGAAGAGCGCCAGATTGATTTCTAACATTCCAGTACCGGTCCTAGCTTTCCTTGGTGGTGCGGTTGATTTCCACCAGCATCTCTGGACAGTCTGTGAAGTGGAGTATTTTGAAATTAATGTTCCTTAAGGTCCCTTTCAGTAGTATTTTGTGGCTCTAAGTTTAAATTATCCCCTCCAATTTTCTTTTGTTGTTTGGCCTGAGATTTTTATGTTATGACCCTGCTCATTGGTAGGTTTTTACAAAGCATATTCCCTTACCCATAGAAAATTTACAGCTAGACATTTTTGTTCTTTTTGTCTTTTTCCCCTCTCTTTTTTGCACTTCAGTTAGAAAATTCTCAGATACATTATTTCTAGTTACAGAACCAACCAACCATTTGTAGCCCAGTCTAATAAAGTATAAAAACACTTCAAGTACTGGGATGTCTATTTTTGATATTTTAAAAATACTTTTCAATATAAAAGATCTTTTGGTCTTTGTCCTAGAAAACCTTTACCTTTCTGTCCATCTTGAATACGCCTTAACTTTGTCAACAATTCAGTAAAGCTTTTACTTGTGCAAAGAAGGATGACAGAAGCAGCAACCACTTCCCTGAGAGATGCATGTCTTCTCCAGCCTCGTGGAGAACCAGTTCCCACTTAGAGAAATGGAGAGGAACCCACAGTTTCAGCCCTTCCCGGGAAGGCACTAAAGTATTGCCTGGGAATTAAGTACACACATCGATCAAGCTTATAAGTCTTATCCTCAGTTAATATATAATGAAATATTAACAACGCTAAATCAAATGAGTTTTTAGTTTAGCTATGTAAGTGGAAAGCAATTTTGAGGTCTGTTGCATAAAGAATTCCAGTTCCGTGGTAGAGTAGCAGATAAATGGGGCTGGGGGTGGGGTGACAGGCGCAGAGTGAGAAATCACCTGTTAGCATCTCATTGCTACCAGCTATGGTCCATCAAGGCCAACAGTGACTGCACCAGGTTTCCTAACAGTTGGATTTCAAGATCTGCTTTAAGAAATAAATTTGAAGTAATATTAGTCAATAGATGTGAAGGACCTGTCCTGTGCTGTGAGCACTTTCTAGTAACTAACAGTAAGGCCCTGTAATAGTCCAGTATTGGTTTTTACTTAATAAAATATTTAATCATAAATGCCTGAATTCTGCATCTCCCACAGGAAGGCATTTCCATGCCCACTGGCAAGAATAATTGAGCAGTATCATAGTAGTGCGTGTAATTACTCATAATTGTGAAGGGTAAGATGTGATGAATTCTTCCTTGATGGACATACTAAATATTTTAACTAAGTAGATGACTTAGGGTAAATTAAGTTAGTGAGATCATTTATTGCATTGGTTAAAAGCATTTTAAGAAACATTTCCCACATTCTATTAGATAAGAATTTGTACGTGACATTCTGCTGGGTGAATAACATTCTGTTGGATTAGACAGCATGTGTTTTGGGAAGGGGTAGTGAGATAAGTACTGAGAAGTTCATGGAGATTTTTTGGATTTGTTCTTGTAATATGATGGATTGTTTTTTTATGGCCTTTCTAGCCATGGTTTTATAGCTTCCACCAAATGATTGGGTGGGACTATGCAAAGGAGGTACTTGTGGTCCAAAAAGGGGATTGGAGAGCTTGTTAATGCACATAAGGTGTATGGACCCTAACGAGGGGATTGGTTAGTTTTGCCATACACTAGGAGCTCTAGTGGCATGGTGCCTGAGGCATTTGACTGCTGACCAGAAGGTTGGCAGTTCAAATCCACCTGCCACTCCATGGAAGGAAGACTGGGCAGTCTACTTCCGTAAAGACTTACTGCCTCAGAAAGCCAAAAGGAGTCACTGTGAGTTGGAATCGACTCGATGGCAGTCAGTTTGGTTTTTTGGTTTTTAGGCTTTAAAGAGTGCTAAACCCAGAGCAGAGCAGGACCTCACTACCCCTGAGAAGAAGAGATGGGAGCAGAGTGTGTCCTTTGGACTGGGGATCTCTATACTGAGAACCTCCTAGACCTAGGAGACAGAGACACAGAGCTGTAACACAGGAGATGGGGTGAGGTGTGAAGAAGCGGCAGCAGCAGAACCAGGAGACCAGTGCGAGATGGAGCTGTGGGCTTCCTAGTCCAGGGAGCAAGGCGGTTCCAGTGGGTATGTGGACCCATGGAGTGAGAAAGCTGACACCCTTTGGGCAAGAGACTTCCTGACTTGATGGGGTACCCCCAGACACTTAAGTGGCAGAGCTAAAGAGCTTTGTAACACTTGCCTGAGCAGGGCAGGGGCTGGGCCAAGCAGCTGAGGGTCAGAGAGAGAGGCCTGCCTTCGGGTACGACTGTGCTGATTAAAGAACTGTATCCTGAGTCATCCCTGATCCTGAATTGTAACCTCTTAATAAGCCCTGTAACTCTGAGTCTGGTCTCTGAGTTCTGAATTAGCGCAGCGAATTATCAAACCCAGCAGAGTGCCATGGGAGGGACAGCTGGTGTCAGAACTGGTAGAAAGGTTGGAGGGTAGAAGTATGTCTGACCTCGCCTCATAGGAATCAGCCTCGGGCGGCTGTTGACAGTGATTGTCTCCTCCCCCTAGTACAGTTAGAGGAGGTCAGACACCTCCACCACACCACTTTCATAGTTCTGTTAAGTTTTGCCTGCATCACTAATGAACATCTTTAGCTATACGTAGTTTGGTGATCAAACTAATGGGAAAACTCTTTATGCTCTTTTGCTTGGTATGAGAGGATTGGGTGTACTATATTAAAACAAGGAGCCCTGGTGGTGCAAACATCCAGGCATGGCCTAGAGAGACCAAGAACTGCTAACTGAAAAGTTAGTGGTTCGAACCCACCCAGTGGCTCCAGGGGAGAAAGACCTGGCCATCTGCTCCTATAAAATTACAGCCAAGAAAACCCTATGGGGCAGTTCCACTCTGTCACATGGGGGTGCAGTTGACTCTACAGCACCTCACAACAACAAAGGAAGGGACTTCACAGTAAAGATTCTCCCTTCAACCTTGTTGGTATACTCTTCAGGGAAGATGGCTTGATTTGTAAAGGAACACTGAAAGTAGTCAAAGGTAGAAAAATAAGGAGATAAAGACACAAGCAGAAACTCTGTAAAACACTCTATTAAGTTTCTAAATTAAACGGAAACTTAAATTTTGGAGTAGAAGAAACAGGAATTCAGGGATTTTAGGAGTTAGCTGAATGCATCAGTGCAGCAGCCATTGTATAGTGTTGTAAAAGGCTAAGAGCCTCCTCCTCACGGTGAGGGAAGGTTGAAACAACTTGTTTCATTAAGTTAAGCTGCTTCCCTTGTGTGTCTTATTTAGCTTTAGTTCTCTTAATTTTCTCTCTCTGGTGATTTGGGTAGTGTCTGAAACCACTAAAGGTAAAAGGTTGAAGCAATCCCAAATTTAATAATCTCTCACCTTTCTTTAGTGTATCTGAGTGTAATTCCCAGCAGTTCCTTTTGAATTCATTAGAAGACAGCAAGTCATTAAAAGTTAATAAGAAACTATTTGTTTCTGTGACTGTGAATAAAACTACTTTGTATGTCTGACATTCTTCTCTAGTCATAAAAGCCTTGCTTTTTGCCAATTTCCATTTTCTCGGTCTCCCTAGGTTACTCCTGGATGGAGCGCCTCTTATAGCAATCCACAAAGCCAGGTATTACAAGAGGAAAGATGGCTTAGCCCTGGGGCCTGGACCATTTGTGACTGGCTTAGAGTATGCCACCGACACCAAAGCCACAGTTGTGGGGAAGCCAGAGAAGACATTCTTCTTGGAGGCATTGCGGGGTACCGGCTGTGAACCTGAGCAGGCCGTCATGATAGGCGATGTAAGTGGAAGAGTTCAGGAACTTCCCCCAGCTCACCTGTTGTGCTGGGAGGAGCCAGCCTTGTACCGTTGCTTTAGGATAGTAACTTCCTGTTACTGATGGTACCAGGTGGTAGTTGGAGGCTACCTAAAGCACCGGCTTTCCTATAGAAGATGTGAAGATATTTAGTGGTATTCTTGTAAAGAACTGAAATGTTGATGATTTCTGGCATTTCTCCATAGTGTGATGGGCTATATATAATTCAAAAGACCATTTATATTGTTAGTCAGTTAAGCATTTTATACAGGCATACCTCAGAGATATTGCAGGTTCATTTCCAGACCACTGCAATAAAGCAAATAGTGCAACAAAGTGTTATTGTTGTTAGGTGCCATCGAGTCGGCTCTGACTTATAGCGACCCTATGTACAACAGAATAAAACACTGCCTGGTCCTGTGCTAGCCTTATAATCCTTGCTATACCTGAGCCCATTGTTGCAGCCACTGTGTCAGTCCATCTCGTTGAGGGCCTTCCCCTTTTTTGCAATAAAGTGAGTCATGTGAATTTTTTGGTTTCCCAGTGCATGTAAAAGTAATGTTTACACTATACTGTCGTCTGTTAAATATGTGAAAGCATTATGAAAAAGTTTGAAACATTGTGAGAATTACCAAAATGTGACACGGAGGCACAAACTGAGCACATGCTATGGGAAAAATGGCATCGGTGGACTTGCTCCACGCAGGAGTGCCACAGACCTTCAACTTGTAAAAAAAGAAAAAGAAAAAGTTATATCTATATGGAGTCTTAAAGAAAATCTAAAATTTTAAAGTATTACATAGGCTGGAAACAAAGAATTCTGCTATTATTGATACTTTTCTTCCTCTTTTGCAAGAACTTCCCAATCAGTGTGCCACAAATAGCAAAGATACTGATTTCCCCAGCCCTTTGAGTAGCAGAGTTGAGCCTGGGACGATTGGAGGCCCAGGCTGGTTACCGTGGCTGACAGCTTACCTCAGTGCTTTGGGCAGACAAACGTTATTTTTCATGTGTGCCGTAATGGGAAACGAGCCTGCTGCCTAGTGGTATGTAAGTGGCAAGGGCTGTTTTCCAGTTTTCAGGTAGCACTGTGTTAGGTCGTAAGGGACCATCCAGATTGTCGTCTAAGCCCCCTCGGTTTCTAGACTAGGAAACTGAAGCCCAAAATACACCTCCAGGCCTCGGTCCCCACAGGTGAGAGGTAGCCGAGCTAGAAGTAGAACTCAGGGCTCTGGGTTCCCTCGGAAGCAGACTGTCTGCCTCGCTTTGTTAACTTGTGATGGAGGGAAGCATCAGGTCCTCCTGAGGCTTCCACTGCTGTATTCACTCATCTGCAATCCAGTGGGATAATCACTGAACTAAATAGTATTTTGAGAAGCCATCTTTTCAGCAACAACTTCTCTTCCTGGGAAGCTTTTGTCTGACTTCCTGGGCAAATATGTGTTTGAAGAAATGGTTATCTGGACCTGGAGACTCAAGAATTCCTCTGTCCTGGGAGATTTCTTCTGGGAGAATTCCTCTGTCCCTGGGGTGGAGTAGGGGTGGGACAGGCACAGGACAGATAGCCGGGTTCAGCTACATGAAGGCCGGGTTCGCCTACATGAAGGCTGTCACCCGGGAGGGGCCAGTTTCTGCTCCATTTCCTCATCTGCTTCCTTTTCCTTCTTATTTCTCTGCCTCTACTTCTTCAACAGACCGAGTTTAGATGCCACAGGAAAGGGTTTGAGCTAGATAGTAGTGATCTCTTGAATGGAGCTTTCACTCTGATACTCATTTCCAAGGGCTATTGTTGAATGATAGTAACTATATTTAGCGTGAAAAATCTTGTTTTCAAGGATGGAATGAATCCTGCCTACAAGCATGTGACAGCAGGTTTGATTTTCTTGATATTTTTTCCATTCCTTACATTTTTTTGTTCCTTTGCATTCCTCATCACACTCAAGCCTATCCTAAATAAGAATTGGAAAAGAGTGACCGTTTAAACTGATCTGTCCATTACTCTAAGCATGAAGTGAACATCAGAAGGTCACAGCGTCTGCTTGAGTAAACGGATTTGACCTGACCCCCTGTTAGGGGCAGCTGGCAGGAAAGTACTACATGGGCAGCAGGAAAGCTCTCTCTGAATTGAGTTCATTCACTGATTACAGTTGGCTCATTCCCCTTCAAAGCTGCGAAATGGAAAAAATGCTCCTTTCCATGGTGTGTTTTAAGAGGAGGGGAGACAGACACACGTTGTGGAACGTGAAGTGATAGCCCTGCTCTGTGTTTGGGCTGCCAGGGTCATGCTCTGACACACGCCTCTCTCCCTGTGATGCCAGGGTCACGCTCTGACACACGCCTCTCTCCCCATGATGCCAGGGTCACACTCAGCTGCACGCCTCTCTCCCCAGGATGCCAGGGTTACACTTGGTCACAGGCCTCTCTCCCTGTGATGCCAGGATCACACTGCCACACGCCTCTCCCCAGGATGCCGGGGTTACACTTGGTCACATGCTTCTCTCCCTGTGGTGCCAGGGTCACACTCGGCCGCACACCTTTCTTGCCTATGATGCCTGCTTCTCCAAACAGGGCATGCGTCCTCAGAGCAGTACATGTGGGTTCACCCATCTTTACACCTTCCTCTCTTGACATTTTAAGAAAAAAACATGGGGTTACAGTTGGCCATCTCAGCTTGGTAAGTCACATCGGTTGGTGGGAATTGTTTTGGTGAACTAACTGAAGATACTGGACTAAAGTCCTGCCTTTTGCTTTTCTAGGATTGCAGGGATGATGTTGGTGGGGCTCAGAATGCAGGCATGCTGGGCATCTTAGTGAAAACTGGTAGGTATACCCTTATGTACACAGTTGCTTAAGGGAAAGGAAAATCTTTCCAGCAATGGCAGAGCCCACTGGGCACTTTAATTCTCTTTCTGGCACAAAACAAAAATAAAACCCACTTGCAGGGCCAGCCCAGACAAAAGCATTACACCAGTCTTTATCTTCATATGTAGGTCCCCAAGTGGCACCAACATGTTATGCTTAACTACTGACCTAAAGGTTGGTGGTTCAGACCTACCCAGCGGCTCTCTGGGAACAATGCCTGGTGTCCGCTTCAGGGCTCTGAGCTTCCCAGGCAGATCACCAGGCCTTTCTCCCAGGGCACCTCTGGGTGGGGCCTAACCACCAACCTCTTGGTTAGCATTCAAGCACTTAACCATTGGCACCAGCTAGGAACTCCTTGGTACCCATTAAAAACCCCATTGCTGTGGAGTTGATTCTGATTCATAGCAACCCTATAGGACAGGGTAGAACCACCCATAGGGTTTTGAAGGCTATAAATCTTTACAGAAGCAGACTGCCACACCTTTCTCCCACAGAGTGGCTGGTGAGTTCAGAGTTCAAATTCCAAACCACCAGTCTTTCAGTTAGCAACTGAGTGTCTAGCTGCTGTGCCACCAGGGCTCCTTAGTACCCGTTATGAGTTTCAGTAGAAACCGTGCATCATCTGATTTACACTGGTAGAAGCTCTCTCCGACCACTGTATGGAGTGGTTCCTCTGCTGGGCTAGGGTGTTGAATTGTGTGCCAGGCTGGGGGAGCAGCAGGTGGTCTTGAATTCCAGAGGCTGGGAGAAGGGGCCTTGTGCCTGCCGCTGATGAGGCCTGCGAACCATCCATCACTCCCTTCTGCCCCGCTCTGCCCCAGGCCCTCTCATTTGCCCACACACCGAGTCCCAGCTTGGTAGCAGCACATGCTTTTTGCATTCACGCTTGGGAGCTGACGTGGCCTCTGCCCTCTGGGGTCTGGACTTCGTTTAAGGGCACTGATTTAATCACCATTCCTGTCTTTAGGGCTAGCAGAGGATGGAAGTTACTTCATCAACTATGAGATTTGAAGGGAACCTTAGCTGTCAGGTAATCCAGTGCCTGTGACTGTCCAGTGTCTAACACTGGAGGACCTGGGACCAAGCTGGATGTGACAGCTCTTTGAATTACCTCATTGCATCCTGAAGCCTCAGTCAAAGATGCTTTGGGAGACGCAGAGCCCTGATTCTCCAGTAATTGTAAGGGAGGTTCTCTGGCACCGGGCACTCACAGGGCATGATCAGTGTTCTGGCAGGAGCCTTTGTTCACTGGGTGTCCTTTCATTTCAGGGAAGTATCGCACAGCAGATGAAGAGAAAATTAACCCACCTCCTTACTTGACTTGTGAGAGCTTTCCTCATGCCGTGGACCACATTCTGCAGCACCTACTGTGAACCATGATGTGAACCTGAAGCAACTTGAGATGCAGCTTGTCCTGGTCAGGACTTCGTGCCAGCATGAACAGACTCCACCTATCCGTGCTGCCTGGTTTTAACCCTCCTTTATTGTGCATTAATTAGAAAGGTATTGAATTGCAGCCAGCCACTAAGCCTCGCTAATCCCTTTTGTTTTATTTTGTAAAACAAGATGAGACCCAAAGAAAGGGAAAGCTGAGATTTTGTACCATTCCTTTTAAAATATTCATCCGGTTAGAGGCTGGGCTGAGGGGGAGAGTCTACTTCGGGGAGTAGTGTACTCTGTTCTCCTCACTGGGAAGCTGAGGGGAGATTCAGGTCATGTATAAAGTTGAATGGTGTTTTTTAAGTCCTAAAGTAATGCATCGTAAGGTACACTAGGCTGTAGTTTTTATATTGATTTCAACTGTGAAATCCATCATTACTGCCACGTGGAGTAGAAGGCTGAAAAGCAGAGAGAATTGTCCTTTAGCCCAAGTGATTGAGTGAATTTGCTTTAACAGATGTTGAAAACGAGATTATCTGCTGGGTTATTCCCAGCACGGGTGACTTCTTTTTCTTTTCATTAGCCAGAGATGACTAATTTAAATTTAGACTGATTTTAATTTAAAATAATATTTTCATTAATAACCTATTCATTGCGGATACCTATTATACTGTGTAACAGTTGTTTTGGAAATTTTATGTAAAATTAAAACTATCAGTATTTTACAGATGTTTTAATTAGACATTGTTATTAACTGGAACAGTGCAGAAACTAAAATCAAGCCTTTAATGTCTTATAGACCATGCATTTTTGAAGTTAGTGTCCACTAGGGTCCTATTAACTGTACATTTGCAAGATTTCATTATTTTTGCCTCTGACACTATGGGGAAAATCTTTGAGAAGCTATTGGGACAGATTCAAGCTTTTATGTACTTGGTTACTACAGCTGGAAAATGAAATCTCATCTGTAGCATGGATCATTCTTCTCACGTTAAACCCACCAAAATGAAGAGGACTAAGTAGGTAATGATTTTCCTAGTGCATTTGCATACTGTGATAATCCTAGGCCTTTGCAGTTGTTTTACAGGGCTCTTAGGCATTGAATTATTAGAATGTAATTGTACATCATTGTAGTGTTCACCTTATTGAAGCTCACACTGATGTTAATGAGCTTTGGGGTTTGATGCTTGTTTAGAGATCAGCTTGGTCTTGGAAGGGAAGGTGTAATACCAAATAAATGGCAGCTCCCTCTCCTTTTGGTAGTTTGATGAGTATTTTCCTTGTTTTTGCAAATGCCCCAATGTAGTACTTCTATTTCCTGGTCTGCAGAAGACCAGTGGGCTGTGAACTGCACCCAGAATCAAAAGGATGAGTGAGGTGGCCAAGAGCACAGCCTCTGGCAACGAGCTGACCTTTCACTAGCTTCCCGACCTTGGGAACGTCACCCAGCCTCCTCTGCTTCTGTAAAACGGAGATGATGATGGTGCCCTCCACATGGGTTGTCGTGAGGTTTAAACACATAAGTTTAATATTGAGTATTTAGGATAGAATTGGGCCAATAGGAAGTCCTGTACGTTTGGAGTGATGATAACGCAGGTGTAGCAGGACTGCCTACACTTAACCAATCTAAACACAGGTGGTAAAAATTGTCTCTACAGTGGTTTCAGTGGGAAGAGTTTTCCTGAGAATAAGAAGAGGCAGTGTACTGAATCTAGACCTGTTCAAGACAGGGCCACATAGAGAGAAAGGTATACATAGCCTGCAGCTAGAGAGGCTCCAGGTGCAGGCAGGTGGGTGGGTTCCATTCAACTTGGGCCTGTTACTTGGGCACCTGAGTAAGTGATTCGTTGGCCCAGCTGTTCCCAAGTGTTTGGTAGTTGCTATATGTCTTGTTATTAGGTGCTGTCAAGTCGATTTTCAGCTAGTAATGACACCATGTGACAGAGTACAACTGCCTCATAGGGTTTTCTAGGCGTGAATCCCCAGGTCTTTCTCCCACAGAGCCCTGGGTGGGCTTGAACCACCAGTCTTCCAGTTAGCAGCCAAACGCTTAACTGTTGCCCCAACAGGACTCCCTGGCATTTGTTAGAGGACACACATTTCTTCACACTTCTCTTCTCCCCACCAGACCGGACTGTGTTGCATTCTTTTTTATATCTGTTACAACACAAGCAACTCAGATGGTTACTGAACTACTAAGAACTGTGAATATTACAGAAATCTAAGGCTAGAAGGTATAGCTATGAGTAAGAAGTAGAAAATAAGTTTCATTTTAAACTCTTAAGGTGCCCATAGGGGAAGCCCCCGTCGACACTTAGAAATAATGGATTGGCTGCTCTGGAGACAGGTTCAAGCTGACATACAGATGAGGAGAGCATTGATGAGTTAGGAGGTAAATAGAGTAATAATAGAGAGTAAGGCCACCTAAGCATAATGTACCCAGTTAAGAGAAATGGCTTCTCGACTTTCCTCCATTCCAGTTTATCCCTGTGGGCCATTAATATCTTAGTTTGTGATTTTTAAATTTACTTAACAAACATTATATAGGACTTGCTAACTGACTTGTCCACAGAGAGCTTCATAAAGATAAATAAAAGTCTTGTTTATAATAACCTTCATCAGAAACACTCCCAGCTCAGCTGGTTGGTCTGCCCTGGGCCTCATAGAGGCAATTTAATAACTGAAGAATCTAAAGGACTTCATTTTCCAGCTGTTCCATCTCAAGGGCTATCTTGTGGTATTGGACTCCAGGACGGTGGTTGCATCAGTTTTACCGTAATCCTGTCCTGGGCCCCCACAAAGGGGACTAAGTGACATCTTAGGCCTAGAAAGGGTATTGCTGAACACCCGTTGTCAGGAGATGGTTACTGAGCATCTGCCAGGAGCTGGGCACTTGCTAGGTGCAGAGGAGACAGCTGGGGTTCCACCACTTCATTCTCACACCTCCAAAGTCAGCCACACGATTTGGCTATCTACCATTCATTTTACAAAAATGAGCCTTGGTGGTGCACTGGTTAAGCACTCGGCTGCTAACTGAAAATTGGTGGTTTGAACCCACTGACCACAGGAGAAAGATGTAAAGATTTACAGCCTTAGAGATGCTGTGGGAGTTCTCTCTGTTGTGTAGGGTTGCTGTGAGTCAGAATGGATCCAGTGGCAATGCGTCTGGTTTGTCCATTGTGTATGTGTTAGAGCTGATCTTGATGGTCAGGGAAGGGCAGGGCTAGACAGCCTCACTCTCTGTCATGGTTCCATCAAGCACCTGTAACTGTGGATAGTAGCAGTCCCTTGGACTGATGGTGCCATCGCCTTACCTTTAGCCCACGTTAAAAATTATGGAAGTGTTGTAGACTGGGAAGTTAAAAACACTACATTGGATTTGTTCAATTGGTTTTGGATTAGTGTTTGTGTAAGATGAACTGATACTCTTAGGCACCTATAACAAGAAGATTTTGAAACTACACTGATTTCACTAAAACACTCTACCTCAAGCTGTAGAATCCTCTTTCGGTATTAGCACTGGTTTGCATTAGGCCTTACTTGCATTACTACGTTTATTTGACCTGAGTCACAGTAGCCTTTTCAGAATTAAGGCTGCTACCCTAGAGCATGGTGCTCTCTTTAAAGGGCAGTAACAAGGCACCAGAGCACCGGAAGTCATTCACCGGAATACATGCTGTGTATCTGTGAAGACCAAGCAGTTGTGAGTACCTCACTTTGTCCAGTGCTTACCTTCATGTCATATACATCTTGACTCCTATTTGTTTCACTGGCTGGTATGCTGAGGAAATCACTGCAGGAATGTGTTAAATGCCATTGTGGATAAAGCATGAAAGACATCACAGAATGCAGCCCTAACTTATAAGATGCGTATTTTCTGGTTGGAGAGCTGAAACATAAAAACGCAGTAATACAGAATGGCTGTATAAAGCTCTAAAAAGTGATCATGTGCAGTGAGCTAAGTGCTTTGGAACAGTAGTCACCATTTATAGTCGGGAGCTAATGAAGTGCTTGGATGGTCTTTGTCCTACACCATTTTGAAAAATACTTCATTCATTCATTGACTTACTGGATACCAGTGGAAAAAGTTCCACAGTCTTGGAGCTTAATTTGAGTAGGGGAGACAGACAGTAAAAACATACACAAACACAGAACTTAATACAATGAGAGATGCTGGTAAGTGATAAAGAAGAAGAATGCAAATAAGGGTGAGGTTGGGGTTATTCTAAGCATGGTCCATTAGGGAAGCCTTTTAGATGGTGATCTGAATAAAGTGAGGGAACAAGACGTGGACTGTAGGGGCAAATATGCTGACTTATTTGCCAACATCTGAATATCAGAGGACTCCAAATACGAAACAGTTAACTGGTTTTCTAGGAAGACTGGAAGGTCTGACAGTGTTAGGTCCAGATTTCTACTTGGCAGTGTTCACTTGGAGCTGAGTCACTGCTATGTCCTCAGATAGTCACTGCCCTCTCCAGTTCACCACAGTCCCTACCCCCTCTTCCTCCTCTCACCCAGCTCGCTTTACTCATTTATTATTACAGCCTATGTTCTGTAGGCATTTGAGTTGTGACCTCTGCATTAGAAGAAAATACCACATGTTGGAGTAAGCTAAGTTTTCCTCCAACTGACAGACCAATTTCCTATATCCTGATGAATGCAGATAAGCTTTTAAACATAGATGACATTTAAACTTCTATGTTTTAAATTACAGCCATAGAAATTTTAAGCAGAGGAGATTAATCATGTGTTAGTTGGTTTCTCGAAACCCCACTAAGAACAAAGGAAAAAAGTTATGAACCCACAAGGGTAGAGGAGAACATCAGTGGATAAAGTTGATCTGATATGTTTGACTATTGGAAAAATGATAGACATCTGAGAGATCTGAGAATGTGTTGCAAAAAACTAAGAACAGTTACTTAGAAAATTAAGCAGATATAAAAACAAAGCACTTACTAAATTTAGAAAAGACAAAGTCATCAAGAAAGGAAATGTAAACCTAATTCACTACTTGGCTCTGCAGTGAACAGTGCATACAGTTCTAATAAAAATACTGAATGTGGAGTTAGCCTGAAATGGTGATTTTTGGATGGTAGAGAAAGACATGTATGTATGGTGGTAGAGGGCAGGGGGATTGAAGAGCTACTTTCTATTTCATCCAAAACAAGATGTCATTAGATAATGCCCCAAACTGATCAAGCGAGAAGCCACCTAGATGCATGACATAAGAACAGGTACACGCACATTTATTTGGAGACAGACTTTCCAAGGGAAAGAGAAGAGAGAGATTGAATACGTTATTGGATACTGCTGAAGTATTAAAAATGTAATCTTAGAGATATTTAAATGCTATGGAGGTGTCGGAGGTGTGTCAAGCACAATAGGTAGTATATGAGGTTCTGGAAATGGAAGAAATTTGTGTGTATTTGCTGAGACAGATGGCAAAACTACACTTAATCCTGAATGGAGTCAGGAAAGGGTAGTAAGCTAAAAGAACCACAATGTATTGTCACGAGCATGCTGTACACAGTAGCCTCCTCTCCTCTTGACCTGTGCACCCTTAAACTACATATACAGTACCAGCTTACTTTCCAACCACGGCAAATTAGCAGCAGCAGCTAAGATTCCGTGAAATCACAAAAGAAGGTAGTGGCCACAAGCAGATGAAATAACAGCTACAACTAAGTGTGTCTTATAGTCAAATTTGTAGTTGGAAGAAGTGCAATGGTTCTTGTTTAACCTTTAGTGCAAGAAAAGCCTTTTCAATGATTTAAAAGCTGCACATGCAACTGAGTGAAGATGATTGTGATGAAGAATTTGTTGCAAGCAGGGGTTGGTTCAGTCATTTCAAAGTGAGGGGAAATTTACGTAACAAAGCAGGGCTTCAAAGGTGGCAGCACCTCACTCAAAGGTGGTGGCCCTGCCCCTCTGAATATGTCTCTTCACAGGCCTGGCAATAAGCCAGTCTCCTGCCTCAGGCTCCTGAATGGCTCACTACACTTCTTCTGAGTGTCTCTTCTAAGACTTCCACTTATAATGTTCCCTTTCTGGTCACTGTGACAAATCACCCAAAATAAAAAATTCTGGTCTATTCCTGTTTTCCTTCACCAGCCATGACAGAATTGGTTTGAAGACCTGCATTAAAGGACAAACAGAATTTGTCTATAGGTGGACATTTGTGACCCAGGGACCACGTGTATAAGTTGTATTTTCAGTTTGACAATACTGTCCGTGATACAAC